CTGTTCTTTCCGACCTCCATATTTCATTTTTAAAACCATTCAGTATTTAAAATATATTGATTATTAATCCAAATTCGCATGAAAGGATCCTATTCATATTCCGAATATCTTTTATTATAAAACGTTAGCAATTCGGATTTCTTGTTAGTGAAATTTCTTTTTTCTATCTACTAATTCTACACTTTTATCTAGTGGAATCAACAAAATTTAATGAAAATTAATTAGCCTCGCCAACTTTTAGCTACACTCTGCCTCATCTTAGTCCTTTCCCAAAAGTTTTTAGCAGATTTGATGGGTAAAATTGAAAATTATAACAAGTTAAGTACAATGGTTCTTAATTTACAATATCATATCCTTAAAACGTGATCACGATAAGAATGAAATGCGTATAGATCGGAGGACTACTCCACATGCAAACCTTGGTGACCATTTTAATGATTTAATCTTAATTAATTGGTTGACTTCCGTCGATTTATTGCCTGATATTTTTTTCCTTTTTTGATTTCCTATTGATATTTGGTACTCCCTTCGCTCCAAAATAAGTGATTTTTTGGCCATTTTTGTGGTCCAAAATAAGTGATTTTTTCAGATTTCAAGAATGAATTAATTATTTTTTTTCCTACATTGCCCTTGGAGTAAATAGTGTTGGAATATGTGTTAGGAGTATTTGTGTGGTTAATATGATCAATTTCATTGCTAATTAATGTTAAAATGTAGATTTCTTAATCTGTATGAAATTAGCTAAAAAATCATTTATTTTGGACCAAAGCGAGTAGTATCTATCGAGAGATTCGACTAATTCCAATTCGCAGTATAATAGATGTAGAAAAAACTACTAAGACCTATTGCGTTTATAGCCGTCCAATCAGTATTTGTGTACTTTAGCATGGATTATGGAATTTAAGGTGGAGGTAGAGTGCCCCAATAGTCCAAATGTAAGATACTAGTTATACAACGACAAGTAATACAAAGTCTCTAGCTAATTAAAGCCAAATTTTCCATTTGTAGGGTCATCGCGAGATCTTAATTTGATGGAACGAAATAACGAAACAGCTTTGTCTTTTCTTGATTTTCTTAGGAGCAGAGTGGTTAGGTGATGATAGGGTATAATTATGTATTTTAGTCGCTTATTACATTCTAATTTACTGTACTTTCAATGAGTTTGAGCTTTAATCGCTAGTATTTTGTAATAATTGTGTGTTTTATACCTTGTAGGTGTGGTTCCGATCTATGTAGATGTTATGGAATGAATTCAAGCTATTCTGGAGCTTTGAAGTCTGAGTAAAAGCCCAAGGATTAAGTTGGGATCGTGTTCGGGGATCAACGGATGATAGTGCAATTGAAGAACGAAGCGAAGAATCGAGCAGGCATACTGCGCATTGTCTAGTAAAATGCACATAACTTTTCACTCAGAAATTTGTTTGGGCTCCACAATATATCGTTGGAAAGCTATTTAAAAGGGATACAACTTTCATGTTTTACATTTTCTCAAATTCCCAACTGCCGCGGCGCCCAGCCTGTGCAAATTCCTGTAGTCTGTCAGAAATCAACTCTCTGAACTTCCCCACTAATGCCCCGCATGGTGTGTCGTCCCATGCGGCGCCTGTGTAATTTTTATAGAGTTATTATCCTAGTTCACGCAAAAAAATGTATTTTCGTCTGGGCCCGATCCTACTTGGTATAAATACATGTAAAAATGTTAAGAACTTTTGACAAACTTTTGACCTAGGGAGAGCTTAGAGCTGCCGTCGAGGTCGGGGTTCATCTTTTCTTCCACAAAACTTTGTAATTTTTATATTCTGTTCCATGATTTGTTGTTTGGGTACCATGTCTATGTGGAGCTAAACTTCACATTCTAGGATTGTGGTTCTTTCATGACTATTGTTATTCGAATATTGATTTTGATTTCTTAGTTTATCAGAGTGGTTTATTTCTTCAATCCTGCGCTTAATTATTTAATTGCTTGATCACCAATTGAATACTATCTACGAATCTATAATTGAACTCGAAAGAGGGAATTCTCGATTGCATATAGGATTGAGTAGAGCAAGTTCTTGAACTTGGAGGGGTGAGTTATTGCATATGTTTCACGTCAGTTGAAGCCCCACGAGAAGAATTACCTCGTACATGAATTGGAGTTGGGTGCAATAGTCCATGCTCTCAAGAGTTGGGTACATGATTCCGGTTGTGACTACGTACTCCTCAGATAGATTGGCCCAGGTTTATATTCAGGAGATTGTCCGGTTGCATGGTGTGCTTGTTTCCATCATATCAGATAAAGGCCCTCAGTTCACTTCACATTTCTGGAGAGCAGTACAGAGCGAGTTGGGCACCCGGGTGGAGCTTAGAATAGCATTTCATCCGTAGACCGACGGGCAGTCGGAGCGGACAGTTCAGATTCTATAGAATATGCTCAGAGCGTGTGTGATTGACTTTGGAGGGTAGTGGCATCGATTCTTGCTTTTGGCTGAGTGTGATTATAACAGCATTTATCAGTCCAGCATCGAGATGGCTCCATTTGAGGCCCTCTATGGTCTGCGATGTCGTTCGCCAATCGGACAGTTTGAGCCCGACAAGGCTAGGCTATATGGCACCGATTTAGTGAAGGATGCCTTGGAGAAGGTAAAGTTAATTTATGAGCGACTTCGCACTGCATACAGACAGAAGAATTATGTGGATCAAAAAGCACGTGATTTATCATTTAGTGGGCAAGAAGGTTCTCTTGAAAGTCTCGCCGATGAAGAGTATCATGAGGTTCGGAAAGAAGGTAAGCTGAGTTTGAGGTTTATTGGCCCATTTGAGGTGTTGAGGAGAGTTGGGGAGGTTTCTTATGAGCTTGCTTTGCCTCCTTGTTTATCGGGAGTTCATATGGTTTTCCATGTGTCTATGCTCTGGAAGTACCATGTCGACAGGTCACATGTGTTAGATTACAACACGGTTCAGCTAGATGAGAATTTGGGTTATGAAGAGGAGCCAATTGCCATTGTTGACAGGCAGGTTCGCCAGTTCAGGTCTAAGAAGATTTCTACGGTAAAGGTCCAGTGGAGGGGTCAACTAGTCGAGGAATCAACTTGGGAGACCGAGGAGGACATGCAGAGCAGATATTCGCACTTATTCAGCACTCCGGGTATAATTCTAGACCTGTTCGAGGGCGAACGTTTGTTTTAGAGGTGGAGAATGTAACGAACCAACCGGTCTTTTTGCTTTGTAGATCCTCGTTCCCCAAATTAAGACTCCCCGTATATGCTTTTACTATTTCATGACTTGCGAAGATGGTTGGTTTAGGTTTGGAAGTATTCCGGTTTAAATCAGAACACTTAGTTCCTTAATAGTGGCCTAAGATGGTCAAGTTTGACTTGCGTCAACATTTATAGTAAACGACCTTGGAAATGGGGTTTGATGGTTCCAATAGGTTCGTATCATGATTTTTGACTTGGCGTGTGTTCAGATCGGGTTTCGGGTGATCCGGGAGCGTTTCAGCACTTAATGTTGAAAGTTGGCACATTGAAGGTTTTCTAGTTCTTTAAATTTGTTTTGGCATAGACTTTTGTGTTATCGAGATCCGTTCGGATTTTGAGCCTGGGAATAAGTCCATATGGTGATTTATGACTTGTGCGAAAAATTTGGTGTTATTCCGAGTTTCCTAAGTATGATTCGACGCGTTCGTAACTAGTTGAAGAAGTTTGAAGTTCATAAGTTGATCAATTTGGTTTTGGGGTGTGATTCTTAGTTTCGATGTTGTTTTACGTATTCCGAAGGTTCTATCAGGTCCGTATTTTTTATAGACTTGTTGGTGTAGTTGGATGGGGTCCCAAGTGGCTCGGGTGAGTTTCAAACCACCCGAAGTTGATTTTAAAATTCTGCTATCTGTTGTTCTGGTTTCCTTCTTCGCGAACGCGGAGAAGGCCTTGCGTTCGTGATGAAGGAAATTGGGCTACGAAAAATTTGTTCTTCGCGTTTGCGTAAGGAGCTCGCGATCGTGAAGCTCTGGGCCATTGGTCTTCGCGTTCGCGTGAGATGGTCCGCGTTAGCGAAGGGTAAGGCGAGATAGGGAGAGCGCAGGCTATTGGTCTTTGCGTTCAGGAAGAGGCCCTCACGTTTGCGTAGGGCAGGCTAGGCAAGCCTTCGCGTTCGCGAGGCTTGTATCACGTTCATGATGTGCAATTTTGAGCGCCTTGATCGCTCTGCCTTCGCGATCGCGAGTCTATTGTCGCAATCGCGAAGAAGGAAAATTTGGGAAGTGTCTTTATTAAAAACGGGACTTAGGCCATTGTCTCTCATTTTCATTTCCCTTGACCGATTTTGGAGCTCTTAGAGGGGTTTTTTTCAGCTAACGTCATAATTGTGAGCACGTGATTTTTGCCCGAATAATAATATTCCTACAAAAGTCACAAATGGATTTTTCTTTTGAGTGTTTATTATTTTAGGAATTTATAGTAATTGTTCGGTAATTGTTTGCATCTAGTTACATTTTGGTGCATATTTAATATTTCAAAAATCATGAGAAATACCCTAAAATGTTCAAATTTCATGCATTGCACTTTTAGGTTGATATTTGCATTTTTAGGTTTAAGTTGTTAGTTAATTGCATTAATAGACAAAAAATCAAAAAATATTGGCTATTTTTATATTTTTAGCTTTTAGTCTCAAATTAGTAATTATTTTGCATTAGCTTTGAGTTAATTAATAATTTTATGTTTTATATAAATAATATGATTTTATAAATTAAATTTTAGTCTAGTATTTTTAATTAAATTTAGTAGTTAAAAATCAAGAAAGAGAAAAATAAATAAAAAAGGGGGAACTTTGAACAAAACTCGAAATTGGGTCATGTAATGTGAGCCCAAATCTTTCAATACCCACTCTTCACTTAAACTAGCCATCTCCTTACCCAGCCGAAAAAAAAAAAAACGGATTTGGCCCTTTAACCCCTCAGATCGACCCGCCCCATTACCCAAATATATAAGCTCACTTATAGTGCCCAAAGAAACCCTAGACCTAATCCCCTCAACACCCAAACGACGCCCACCCCCCGTCTTCGTCTCTGCCTCGCTCAAAAATCGCCAAAACTCGTCTGAGTTTCAGGCGAGTTCACTTCTAAACCCGCACATGGTCATCTCGTCTCTATCCTTTCTTCCACGTCACCAATCCTAACGGCCTCTGACAGAAGGAATATTCTCAATACTCGCATCCCTCTTTCACTCGCTTCGTACTAACCAAAATCACGCGTCGAGCTCTCTAGAAGGCATGTGCTGGACAGATAGGAGCCTTAGGATTGATTTAAGGTTAATCCTATCCCTCTATCTTTTCAGAATGTGTCTATAAAAAAGAGGATTTGATTCGGAAAAGGGGAGATTCTTCAGAGGTGAGGGGATTCGTTTTAGGAGGAAAAATCGAAAAGGAGTTTTTTTTCTTAGGTAATCTGATTTATCTTGAACCGGTTTTTTGAGTTTAGTTTTTTAGGCTTGTTTTCTGATTTCCCCAAAAACAAAAAGAAACACAAGATATATGTATTTGATTTTTTTTGACAATGGAATTCGATTGAGGTTTTTTTTGAGTTAATCGGAGAGCAAGTTTCGTTTGCCGGTCAAAGGTGTGTTCGCGAGTCTGTTCGATTTCTGCGGTGACTTCACGATTTGGAGTTCATTGTTGAGTTTCTACTCATTTGTTTCCGCCAATTCCATTAAAAGTAATTTTCACCAACAGGTTTGTGATTTTTCTCTTTATTTTAACACAAGTTGTGAGTTGTTATTGAGTCGATTCATGTGACTGTGGCTCTTTTCTTCTTCTTCATCCTCTTTGCAGTTCTGTTTAATGTCTGAGGCGTGTACAGCCATTTCAATCAGCCTTGTCTGAATCGTAATATGAGATGGATTTGTTTAAGTGTGCACCTGCAGTATTTCTGTTAAGTTTTCTTTAGTTTGTTGAATTTTAAGTGAAAGTTTTGCTCATGAGCTGATCCTGTCCCAGTTCAGGAATTCATTACGGGTACTGTTGACTTGTACTCCCTTATTCTGTTAAGTTTTGGAACTGTTACCTTGGATTCATTTTGATCCTAAACTCAGTTTAAATCTGTCCGAAATTCTGTCTCTGTTTAACATTTGAAATTATGAGAACATTAAAGCAAGAACTTGGTATCTACTGATGTTTGCCTTATCCCCTGTTGTCGTGTACCGAACTGTGTGTGTATTACTGACTTAAGGATCCATTTAAGTCCCTTGCATGCTCATTCTGCTGTACTTAGCATAAGCCATAAGGTTCAGGGGTTGGTTAATGGTTCAGGAGACCATCAAGCTGTATGGAAATGTGCAGTCGACCCAGAATGGCCTTTGCTGTTAGCCGTGATGTTTCTGTTTGAGAATTCAGCACATAATTAGTCAATGGTTGTGTTAAAGGCCGACTTCGATTTGATTTGTTAAAACATCTTAATGGTAATCAGTTTATTGGAGGTTTTCTTTGTATTGATTATAGACTAATACCTATGCTGGATTATAAAAGGCTGTTACATTGCGATTCAATTACTGCGTTTCTGCCTCTTTTGATAGTCGAGTGAGTCTTGATATCAAGGGGGCAGTATTTTTACACTAGATTGAGAACGTCTGTCCATTTGGTGACGCTTAAGTTGATTAACTTATCTGTTTGAAATTACCTGATGTTTCATGCCTCATTTCTTTGTTGATTGAGTGATGCGATTCGCCTTGATGAATTTAAAACAACTGATTCCCTGCTTTTAGTCATGTGAGCTCGTTCTATTGGCCTAATCAAGTGTAAACGTGAATGAGTGAACATTGGTTGGCTGAATTGCATTTAGGACAGTTGTAATATGTTAGGTTGTGTTTTATCTACTTAGACAACAACCCTTATATCCTTTGCAATGAAATTTTATTGTAATACTAGAGTTTTAGTGAATTGGACAATAATGTTGTATTTGCTCAAAAATGTTTTCTTGTTGCAATGTGTGTATAAGAGAATTATGATTTACTGCATTTAAATAGACATAGTTGTGTCCATGTGTGATGCCTCTAAGATATGGCAAAAATCAGCTTACCTTGCTATGTTGATAATTGGTTTTGTCCATGAATCAAGTGTTTGAAATGATCATCACATGTGTTACTGCATTTGTAGCCTTTAATACTTGTTTTGGTAGTATCCTGTTGGTTACAGAGGTTTGAAAAATCCAAAATGACTAAATGAATTTCTAGTTCTTTCTTCTGTCTAGTTCTATTTTGGGAAATCTGTCTATTTAGCTCCATGCTGATATAAAAGGAGTTTCAATCTGGTGGAAAACTTTTGTCAAAAGAGTTAGCAGTTCTCTCTAATGGTTTCTGTCGAGCTATTGGCGCTGAATACAAAATTTCAGAACAATTCATTCCTTTAGGCAGTCCTGATTTCGTAGAAAGCACTTTAGGAAGAATAATGAATATTCGTAGTTTGCTTTAGGCGCGATTCAATATATCATCGTGATTGCATACACGTTCGCGTGACATAATTAAACAAAATTGGGGTATGCGTTCGTGCAATTTCAACTAAATTTTCTTAATAATAATAAAGCGTTAATTGTGGACACATACACGTGATATGATTTTTGATGCGCCAAACAAATGGGTATACGTACGCGTGATCTGTTTTAAGATAATTTTTAATTAAAAGAGGTAAATGTATATAGGTCCTAAAATAAGTAATTAAATAATTTAATCAAGCCAAGTATGATCAAAGCGACTGCGCTAAAATCACGGAACTCGAGAATGTTTAATACTTTTTTCCGGGTTAACAGAATTTTTTATCCGGATTTTTGTGTTTCGCGGACTGTAGAATAGAGTCAACTTCCTCGATTCGGGATTTTAAACCGGTGACTTGGGACACCATAAATTATCCCAAGTGGCGACTCTGAATTTAATATAAATAATCCCGTTTCGATTGTCACTTAAATTGGAAAAACTCCCTTATATCCCTTGCGGGGTAGAAAAAGGAGGTGTGACAATAATGTAAGTAATTCCTACTAAATGTGAGTTTAATACAAATATTATGGGTAAATTTTAACATGTAAATTATGAGAATTTTAGTATTTTGTAGAAAAACCTAGGTTTTTTTAAAAATGGGATTAGACCACGAAAATTATTATGGAATTGAGTCGAAATTATATATTTGTCTTTACGAGGTTATGGGTAACAATTTACAAAAAATTTTGAAATCTGGGCACGTGGGTCCGGGGGTGAATATTAGGAATCCTCCAAATTGGGTTGGCTAATTAATCTAATAGTTAAATTATGAGTTTTTGAGCAAACATTGATTAGTTGTACAACCTTTGGCTAGTTTCAGATTGCTCGGCACCGACGTGAGGCTTTTAGTTTTATTTGTGGACCTGGAAGTGGATTTGAAAACGGGATAAGTCTCTTGCCTAACCTTGTAAGAGGAAATTAACACCATAGAGATTTGGCGGAATGATTAATTATTGATGGAAGAATACATAATTCCTTTATAGGCTTACCTTAAATTGTAAACACGAAATTCGTCGTCCGAAGAGTTTTCCTATTCCTGTGGATTGGGCCGAACGCCTCGGAAATATTTATATATAATGTGATGCAACCATGGATTGGGCAGTACGACCTCAGTAGTGTATGTACACGATTGTTATGGATCGGGTCGTACAATCTCGACATAAGTTGTGCATGTTGTCGCTAGGAGTCCGATTATACTCGATATCATTCATGACTTAAGAAATTATAATTACATGTTGGACTTTACTTGTTGAGGCTAGCATGTCATCTTTGGGGACTTTTAGTTTTTTATTTCATTAAAGAATCATTTAATTATTGCCTTTTATTTCATTAGTGTTGTTGTATTTCATGCCTATTTATAATTTTTGCCCATTATGTATATTGACCACAAGTAAGTGTCGATGTTGACCCCTCGTCACTACTTCTTTGAGGTTCGACTAGATACTTACTGGGTACACGTTGTTTACGTATTCACGCTACACTTCTGCACAAATTGTGCAAGTTCCAAGGCAGGTACATGTTGCGACCAAACACACATGCAATTATACCGGTCGTTACGTAATAAAGTGATAAGATAGAGTGTCAAACCCACGAGGACTTGTTATCAACTATTAACTAAATTAGACTATCCTAATTATCTAATCAAGAATTAATTCCAAAATTATTTGACTCTAATCTAATTAAAATAAAAAAGAAAAAAATTGTGAACTTTTAATGAAAGAAGAGCAGATTTATATGTTATCAATATAATGAAAAACGATCTACGTGTTATGGGCTATCTAAAAATCCTATTGTATTCTTTAATTGAATTGACTATCTAATTTATCTAGTTTATTGGTTAACAGGGTTAATATTGCTCATAAGAATCTATCGAGTTCTTGCTCGTCTATTCAAGCTAACCTAACGCCTATATGTTTATGGAATTCGAACTATCAAGAATGCATTTATAATTCATGTAAATCAACCAAGCAAGGCAATTAGGTATATGTCTATCCTAACTACGAATCCATTCTCCGATGCTAGGGTTCAAGAACATGCTCTACTCAATTTTATGTTCAATCTAGAATTCCACTTTCGAGTTCAATTTAAGATTCGTAGATAATATTTAATTGGTGATCAAGAAATCAAATAATTAAGCGCAAGATTGAATAAATAAACCAATACGATAAACTAAGAAATCAAAATCAATATTCGAGTACCAGGAGTCATGAAAGAACCACAACCCTAGAACGTGAAGTTTAGCTCCACATAGACATGGTAGCCTAACAACGAATCATACAAGAAAACATAAAAATTACTAATTTTGGTTGAAGAAAGATGAAATCTGATAAATTTCGGCCTCCACGGCATTTCCATGCTCTCCCTTGGTCAAAAGTTATTCTAAAAATCATCCTCTCCTCTTTTTATTTTTCCCTTTTTCTTCTTTCGCGTTTTATTCAGATTTGCTCCACATCTCTTAATCTTCATACCGCTTTATTCCAACACAGTTAAAATATAATATTAAGTATAAAATAATATAATTAATACACAAAAGACGATTAAACGTACAAGAATGTGAAGCAATAATGGTTAAATATATGCATTTTTAGCTGAGCATCACTACCCCAGACTTAAACTCTTGCTCATCCTCGAGTCAACCAACAATTCACACTTTTCTTGAGCACTTCATATTTACACATTTGAAGCACACTACATTTCCCTTTACTTAAGTTCTTAAAAAATATTCACAACAAAGACAACGTGCTCATAACAATCCTAGCTTCAAAACCCGACTCAATGTCACAATGTACTCATGGCTTGAACACCCAACATCATAGAGAAATCTAATAACGTTACCTATCCCTCATGAAATCATGTTCCCTCACAACAAGAACAAGTGAATAAGTTGAATTCACACATTCAAATCAAATGCTCAAATATATTTTAAGGACTCACATATATTAAAGAAAATCTCTCACTCTCACAAAAGAAGCACATACATGCAATTGGTACCATAAGCTTGCCCTTAATGTATATCTCTACCAATTTAGGCTCGTTCGATCTAAAATCAATTAGGACTTTTCTGTGGTTGTAATGTGGGCTGAGGGACGGGTAAGATATATTTAGGAATAGTGGTTCACTCCATAAGCACTTTAACACATCACATAATCAATTTAAACACATATTTCCTCAATCCAACTTCATCTTCATAAACAATATCACCCCTAAAAAATGTTCCCTTTTTCTTTAAGCACTATCTTAATTTACACTCCACTAGCAAAAACAATATATTTGTTCATCTATATTTTATTTCTTTTTCTTTTTCTCTTTTGCAATTTCCACTAGTGGCGTATTGTTTTACAAAATAAATGCACCTTTCTTCCTTTTATTGGTTCCACCCGAAAGACAACCCACACTTAGTCCCTTCTTACTTTTTTTAGTGCTCATTTTATAATTAAAGTGGTTTAAGAGATAAAAGGATCAAAACAATATCAATTAAGAACAAAAAGGGTATAGGCTTGTAATGTGGGTGCCAAATAAAAGTCTATACGCTCAAAAGGGTTAACTAGGGATATATTTTATTTGCGATAAGAAATGAAGCTCAAAAAGATCAAAGCAAGCCTAAAATTATTTTTTAAACCAAACATCACCTAAAATTTCGCTTCGACTCACATACCGGGCAAGTTCTAGGCACAAGTACAATACATGGACTACACAAAAATCTTATCACACAAGGCTCATGACACACTAAGGACGGTCCCATTCCAACTCTTAAACAATGCAAGTATTCATAGAGCCACGAGATATTAAGCATCAAGCACAAAATGAATATAAGTCAAGTAAATGAGACATAGGCGTCTCAAGACATGATATCCAATCAGTACAAGTGTCATAGACAATTTCAAAATAGAGGGAAGATACTACACATGCCAAATCCTAAATATACTACTATCAAACAAATCAAAGGTGCCTAGGAATCTCATCTTTCTTCCTTCCTTTTCTCTAGATATTAATCTACTCTAAAAAAAAAATAAAAAACAAACTACTACCCGGTTCAAGCTACATCCCAAGAAAAAGAACCGAGGCACAAAGAAAAATCACGGGAGATTATTACTACCTAAAGAAAACTAAAAGACATATTTTTGGAGTTTTTTATTTTTCAACTTTTTTTGCGTTTTTGGTTAGACTTTATCACATTAATTATTAACTAGAACAGAATTAAATAATAGCTAAAGACAAACAGAGATAAAGTACGGAAGTGTTATAATAGTTCAACAATTCTATTACATGACTACCCCAATGATCTGGTGTCACAATCCAGAATATCTAAGAAATTCTACAAACATTGGTTTAAAAGAAATACATCTGTTCTCAAAATAGAAAGAGACAGGAAAAACTAAAATAGAGGAAAGGGGGACTCCAGGGTCTGCGAACGCTGGCAGATCTACCTTGGGTCTCCCGTGGACTGAAGGCATCAACCTCAACACTACTCACGAGGACCGGCACCGAAATCTGCAC